AAAGCGGGGAGCCATATAAACCTGGTATTAAATAGATAAAAGTCGAATCATTGTCCATGCTTTTGTTTTGTAATAATTGCCGAAATAGCTACTTACTAGTTATAAAAATCAGTGGCTTTGACTATCAATAAACAGATTGAAAAGGGACCCAAATTAAGGTTTCTTTCCATAGGTTTCTGTAAAAAAATGTTACAAATAGGGAAAAACGATGAACAAAAGGCCATTACCAAATAAATAACCTGACTGGATTCTTGAAATGTTACAAGATAAAACAATGCCAATGTTACAAGCAACCTGTTTTATGGAGCCCAGACACACCTCATTAGCATGTGTTTAAACCAAGATAAAATAAACATATATATATATAGATATGAATATTAAAAGTCACAGTGGACGCCATTTTGAATATTTTTACTTTTTTTTCTCAACCCACAGGCCAGAAAAGATGCGAGAAACGTTGCTACTGGTGAGGAAAAATTTTATATATATATATTTTGACCAAACAACAGATTTCTCATAAAATGAGGCAGAGTGGTGTCCCCTCTACACTGGAAATAAAGTAAAAATTCACATTTGAAAATAATGTAATAGTCTTACACACACACATACACACTGACCAATTCATCTCTCCCTCTATATTATGCTTTTTGCCTCATTATTGTTTAATGTGTGATTAAAGCAACAGTTATTAACATGTTAAGTGAGACTGGTGAACTGAGTTCAAATTCTGGCCTAATCCATTGTATTCACTTTTACACTGATATCTTTGGGAAAGTCATGAATGTATTCCCCTCTCCCTCTCCAGCTGGGTTTTCTAACCTTGAGTGGCAGCCAGTCTCGGAGAAATACCCACAGATTTTAAAACCATGGAAAATCCAATTCATGGCAATTCACAGATAAAGAAAAAAAAGGAATGATTGTTTTCATCCTGAAGGTAATTAAAAAAAAAAAAAAAAAAAAAAAAAAAAAAAGATTGTTTAATAATTTAAAACAAGGAGTCTCTTTGTTAATAAAGAATGAACAAAAGTCATTACATTGTGTTTTTTTTATTCTGATAGCTTTAGAAGACAAAGTTACTGTAGATAAATTAAAAGTTGTTATGTTTCATCTGCGTCGGTGGCACTAGTCTTTACAATATGCATTCTCTTCAGCTGCTGTTGCTTTGCACGCAGCAGCGTCTACAAACAAGCCACCTGATTTGACAGGGGGTATTTTGGCATTGCCGTCTTATTTCACTATGTTATGCAGGACAATTTTTCTCATCAGAATCCATCTAGCATGTCATGAATCTACCATTTGTTCATGCATTGAATATTGCTGCCATATTTGGTCTGCTGCTCCTACTATATACCTTGATATTCTTGACAAAATTCAAAGAAAGGTCTGTATTGTAACTGATCTTAACCTAGCATCTTGGCTTCAGACACTTTCCCCACCATTGTGGCTTCCTTCTGATTTTTTTTTTTTTTTTTTACAAATATTTTCATGGCATTCTGATAAGCTTTTCTTCTTGGCACCTTGACTGCATTAATTTAAGCATCCTACTTGATTGCCAATTAGGTTTTACCATTAAACTAAGTAGATGGAACCATATGTTCTATTCTACTCTGGAAATATTCTAGCATACTATATAAGAAAGAAAACAAGCACAAAAATCAGTCTTTTAAGTTTCTTCTTCTTCTTCTTTGTACCATGACCTTTCAGGACATGGTCGATCATGGCTCTCTACAGCTTCCTGTCGTCCTTTGTAGCCCTTAGTAAAGTTTGTCTTTTTGCGATATCTCCTAATCCTAGTCCTGCCAACCATTTACTCAAGCTTATTAAGTAGGTTATACACTGCTTTCCTCTGTTTCTGTTGTTTTCAATATGTCTTGTGATTTTCCAAGCACTCTTTCCTAGAAATTTTAACCGTTTCTTTCTGATTTGAATTATAAGTGTCCTTTTTATTTCATTGTTGTAGTTCCTGTATTTAGTCCATCCTTCTGCAGAACTACATTTCTATTGCCTCTTGTCACATCTCCATCTATGATGAGATGATTCAGCATTCACTGACATAGAAGAGGACGAATATTACATAACAGTTCAGTACTCTTAAAGATGAGCATCACCAAAAACTCCATAAATTTAATCCAAGTATGATAGATATTTAATAAGCTGAATTTGGTATAAGGCTAAGTGGATTGTACAGCAGTCTCCTCTTACCTACAGTTTCCACAATCTATGATCAAACCACAAAAATAAACAAATTAATTTTACTTCATTAGGTTCCAGGCTCAAAATTTTCAAGAGATACATGGCCTAGTGGATTAAAACATTGGTTGAAACCGCTCAAATTCCATGGCAGTTGCAAGTTCAATTTCTGGGTTTAGTTGTTATGAAGAGTCATATATGCTCATGATCAGTGGAAGAAACAGGCAAGCAACCCAAACTGATATGAGTTATCTCCCCTAAGTATAGGAATATTGAATGAGAGCATTCTACACCCATGGATTGAATAAAGTGTTCTGTTCAAAATTCCAAAAATGTTACTGTTATAAACACATGTATGGTAGCACAGAAAAACAAAAATCTAAGCAATAGTATCCCAGTGAGGTGAAAGGAAAAGATAAGAATTTTAAATATAAAATTCTTTTATATTGCCAATATAGTGGATGTGAGTGAAACATTCCTGAGTTGGTAAGGTCTAGAGTTAATGCATTTATTGGGTTAGTTGATGATATGAAGTGAGGCCTGAAGTGGATTAGTGAAGCTCAGTCTGCCACAAATCAGACTTGGTCATTTATGAGTGGCTTTCTTAAAGCAAATGTAGTGGGTCCCAAACTTATCTTTTTTTCATGTTTTTTCTTTGGCAGCAAAGTTTGTGATTGGCTTCTTTTATGTTGTGTTTTATATTTTTCTTTAGGGGGATTTGTTTTATGGGCAGCATGTGATGCTCAGAGCCCTTGTGCAGAGGACAACTTTTTTTTTTAGTTTTGACATGTAGCATGAATCAGAAAGAGATCTAATTTGAAGCCAAGTATGAAGATGAACATGTGAACAAGGCTGAATGGTACAATGTTGAAAAGACTGAACAACAAAGAATTTTTAATTTCATTGACTTAAAGTGAAAGACAACTCATGCCAAAGAAAAACGGTAAAATACTTCATTTAAGTGAAAACATCAAGTTCATGACTAGAATTAAAAAACATAAAAAAAAAAAATCACGTTAAGGTTCCTAAAATATCTAAGAATGTATCTTTTATCAACCAATTAACTTTTATTTTTGTTGTTTTTCTTTTTAATATTATTTTTTGTTGATTATCTTGTAATTTGAATAATCTATAAATTAAACTTTATCATAAGTATGAATGTAACTATATATATATATATATATATATGGCATGTGGTCGAGTGGTTAGAATGTTCAATTTCTGACCATGAGACTTGGGTTCAAATCTCACCATGGTCGATTTGTCAGGAAGGAGACTTCCTGATGTTATTGGAATTGATTGAGTTCAATCCCAACATGCGGCACCTTTTGAAAATGCCTGAAAAACCATACCATGGGTTGACCCATGCCTTGTGAGTGAAATTGGGTAGGCAGAACTCTTGTGGGTCATCAATAGCTGTGGTAGCACAAAACCACAAGCCATTGTGGCCAAGGGCTTGAGCATGCTGGTCTTGTTCAAATTGTTGATCATGCTAGATAACATGCTCTCTCCCAGAAACTGTAACTAAAGTCTGCTCAGCATAGTTGCAGTATAAACCACAGGTGGGCTCTGTGGATGTTGAGCAAACACAAACGTGCCTGAGCAAGCATCTGCAATAGGGATTGGCTAACTGCCCAAGTAGATTGGTATCCTCGAATACAAGTGCCCAGCAGCTATTATATGTATATATATATTTAAGAATTTCACCCCAAGCAAGGCGAAAGTACGATTAGTACACAAGGGGTTACGGAAAATGTAGATAAGAGAAAAGACTGGGTATATGGGGTGACCTCAATCACCTCATATACCCAGTCTTTTCTCTTATCTACATTTTTCTAAAGGATAAAAAGAAGACTGGGGATCAAGGCATCAGAAGATGATGACTGACATTGTATATAAATTTTTGAAGATTATAGTTATCAGGGAAGCAAGTAAGAAAAAAGAAGTTCCACTGTCGGGAAGTGTGAGAGAAGCAGCTGTTGGAGTAGAAGTGGCATTTACATTTAAATATTTCAACAGTGAAAGGGTGGAATCTAAATGCTAACTTTGTAGAACACTTAAATTCATGCAGTCGGGACACCAGGGAAAATAGCACATCAGAGCAGTAGCCATGAAAATATCTGTTAAAAAAAAAAAAAAAAAAAAAAAAAAGAGGGCAGCCACATCACATCTTTAAGGAAGTTATTGAAGTTGAGGTGCCAACTCATGCAAAAAAAAAAAAAAAAAAAAAAAACATGCATACATAATTTTAATGTATGCACAATGTCAGGCATCAGCTCGGAAAATATCCACTATGATCAAGCTGGCGAGATTGCTGTATTTGAATAGAGGGTAATAATTTTTTTTTACTGTAGCATCATATTTTAATTCTGCTTGTTCCCTACTTATTTAGTTAGCACATACATTATGCCCTGCAAATAACCTCATAAGTAATGGACTATTGGCTTCACTGAAAGAAAAAAAAAGTGAAAGAAAAAGAAAATGGCGGAAGTGATAATAGTTATGTGTTAAACATCTGCTTCAGTGAATTGGGAATACTGGAATTTTAAATCTTTTCATCTGCACCTTCTTAATTCTTTAAACTGCATACATACTTATGATTGTTATTGCAATATTTTGTTAAAATTGTTAAGCTCAAATATTTAATGATGCAATAGGGAATGTCCATGGGTATTTTATAATCAGGGAACACACATTGAGCTTATTTCATTATTAAATTATAAGTTATGATTCATCAGAAAATCAAATTGGAAATCTGAAATTTTCATTTATAGTTATTTTAGCTGTGCATCTGAGATTATCAAAGATTATTAGTCAAAGAAAGAAAGAAATACTAACAGAGAAAGAAAGGAAAGAAAGAAATACTCAGAGAAAGAAAGGAAAGAAAGAAATACTAACAGAGAAAGAAAGAAAGAAAGAAAAATACTAACAGAGAAAAGAAAGGAAAAAAGAAATACTAACAGAGAAAGAAAGGAAAGAAAGAAATACTAACAGAGAAAGAAAGGAAAGAAAGAAATACTAACAGAGAAAGAAAGGAAAGAAAGAAATACTAACAGAGAAAGAAAGGAAAGAAAGAAATACTAACAGAGAAAGAAAGGAAAGAAAGAAATACTAACAGAGAAAGAAAGGAAAGAAAGAAATACTAACAGAGAAAGAAAGGAAAAGAAAGAAATACTAACAGAGAAAGAAAGGAAAGAAAGAAAATAACAGAGAAAAGGAAAGAAAGAAATACTAACAGAGAAAGAAAGGAAAAAAAGAAATACTAACAGAGAAAGAAAGGAAAAAAAGAAATACTAACAGAGAAAGAAAGGAAAAAAAGAAATACTAACAGAGAAAGAAAGGAAAAAAAGAAATACTAAAGAAAGAAAGGAAAAAAAGAAAACTAACAGAGAAAAGAAAGGAAAAAAGAAAAATACTAACAGAGAAAGAAAGGAAAAAAAGAAATACTAACAGAGAAAGAAAGGAAAAAAAGAAATACTAACAGAGAAATACTAAGACAGACTAAAAGAGAAAGGAAAGAAAAACAAGGAAAGAAAAACAAGGAAAGAAAAACAAGGAAAGAAAAACAAGGAAGGAAGGAAAAAGAAATGAAAAGAAAAATGAAAGGGGCAAAGAACAAAAGAAAGAGCAAAGAACGAATGAACCTTGTACACTTTGAAACCTTTCATTTGTACCCTCTTACTTCTTTAAATAATGACCTGCATTTATAATTATGATTTTTATTGCAATATTTTGTTAAAGTTCATTAAGTTCAAATATTTAATGATGCAATAGGGGAATTTCTACAAATATTTTATAGTCACAGAACACAATGAGCTTATTTATTCATTAAATATTATGATACACCAGAAAATTCAAATAGGAAAACTGTAAAATCTTCATGGAAATTGCTAGTGATAATTAACAAGCTTGTCTTGCAAAGATTCTTATTAGATACTCCATTTGTATAGCCTTGTGCCAGAGTGAGCTAGATTTAGTAAATAACTGCAAGTATCAATATTTGGTGTGCAGAAATAAGTCAAACAATAACATTAGTGCTTTAGCCTATGCCTTTCTATTCACATGACAAGCAGAAAATCTGATAGCGATGATGCTGGCTGTTGACTTCAGGGGAGGGGTGTTATCATTACCACTATAACAGATATTTAGATCTTTGGAATTGTGACAGTAGTCCTTAGAGGAAATATCCAAAGCCGTATCAAGAGAACAAAACAGAGTAAATGGTTACTATTCTTGGCTGTAATTCTAGAATTCAAATGATGTACTCACTGTGACTTTGCTTGTTTTCCTAAGAAATGGTACATTAAATTGTCTGTTAGAGATCAAATCATCCACAGAAAGTGTGGAGATTATTCTTGGCTGTTAATTCTGCAACTTGAATGCTGCACTCATTGCTATTTTGTTTTCCTAAGAAATGGTGCATTAAATTGCCTTTCAACTTGCTCAATAGCCTTGACTAATTCAGTAAGGAGGAATGTACAGAATTGATAACTTTGGCTACTCGGATGTGGGGAGATATTGGTTTAGTAACCTTAGCTCCTCCAGGGTTGGTTTGGTTTGTTTTATGGCATATCAACCCCAATAGGTTATTTGATGACGACAAAATTTTCATTGCTGGTAATATATTGTTTTGTCAAAAATCTATTTCTGGTAATTTTTTTTTTTTTCAAAAATGTGTTGTTGGTAATAATTTTTTTCATAAAACTAATGCTGATAATATTTTTTCCTCAAAAATGTATAGTTGGTAATAGTTTGTTTTTTTTTTTCTTCAAAAATTTATTGCTGGAAATAATTTTTTTTTTTTTTTTTTACAAAGCATTTCTGGTATTAAAACCTTTTTTTTACACTTTCATAATGTTTTGATCCCAGTTTTAGGGTTAACTAATGGCCCATAGCTGGGAGCCTAACAGGTGTTACCACCCAGGGCCAGGGTGGACCTGGGAACACCAGCAATTAAAAGGTGGTTCCATGCTCCTCAAAACCTCTTGATCAGATGCCTTGCTGTAGTTTATCATCTTACCCAGGATGCTGATGTAGTTTATTGTCATACCCAGGACGGCCTCCAGGGTTGGGTGTTGGCTTTTCTCAGTAAATTTGGACATTCTAGATAGGTGGGTTCTGCTTGGTTATTCCATGGGGAAGAGACTCTTGTATCACTTCTCTTGTAACACTGGTATGGTTTTAATAACAGAGCTAACTAGGCCCTCTAGACTTTGTTTGCAACCAGTCTAGTAGAAGGACAATTCTGAATTCAAAACTATGGAGAAGGAAATGGGAAACCATTCCATTATCTTTCCCTCAATCAGCCAAGGACCTGCAGAATTCACAGGTAGTTAAAAAAAAAAAAAAAAAAAAAGTTGTGGAGAACCATGATCACCTAAATCCTGGAAGGATATGGCACTTGAAGATGAGGAAGAGGCATTTCTCACTAAAAAAATTTGTACAACTCACCTTTTTCTCTTCCATGACACCAAGTGTTAAACTCGACTGAGATTAGTGAATTATTCTTCTTTAATATGCCATGTTCTTTCAGGATTGGTAATGGTAATGTTAATAGTTTCTTTATAAAGAAACATTTGATATTCATTGACCAAGCAGCTAATATAGCTTTCAGTTGAAACTTATAAAATCTTTCTCTTAAAAAATCTTCCAGGAAAACATGTTTCTTAAATCCACTAGCTGTTATTGCTGTTTCTTTCTTAACCTTTTATTTGAAGTAGCATGGAACACTAACATCTTGATTTGTCATTTTCTCTGAGTTATATGTGCAATCTATTTTAGTTGTTGGTGCTGTTGGTAGTCTTCAAGTGATGTGGTTTCTGTTATTCAGTACAGTTCTTTGTTTATGAATAATCAATGGCACACACAAACACAATAAACAGGAAATACCTGACCTTGCTACCCATAATGCCCTATTGACCAGCATATATAAATACTTGAGCTAACATGCAACATGCATGGCCTTTTGTTAATACATGAAATAGACTGTCATAACTTGGTATTGACATGTGCACAAAATTTCAGCTGTCTCTTTCTGATTCATATTATTTTTCACTACTACTACCAGTTGTAAAAAAAAAAAAAACAACAAAAATAAAAAAAAGTTAAATGAACTCAAAAAAGATTTTTTTTTTTTTTAAAAAAAAACTTTTCACCCCTAACAAGACAAGAGTGCCACTAGCATGTAAGGGATTACAAAGAGTTAAAGCAAGAGTAAAGAGGCATGATAGAGGAAAGAATGAAGAGAAAGATGAGGAATTAGATCAAGGCATCTGGGGATGTTGATTGAGATTGCATTTGAATAGTTGGAGATTATAGCTATCAATGAATCAAGTATGAGGAAGGGAGTTCCACAGATGGGTGGTGCGAGACATGAAGCTATTGGAGTAGAAGAAATGGCTACATTTAACTGTTTTGACAGTGAAAGGGTGGGACTGAGATGCTGACCTAGTGGCACATTTAAATTCATACAGTTTGGGAACTAAATATCTTTTTAAGTCTTAATGTAAAATATAATAAATAATCATGAAAAATATAGAAAGTTAAACAGATAAGTAGAGAATAACATTTACATGAGAAATTAGTAAATAGATGTTTTTGGCTTCCTCTTTCACTAGAAAATTTGTGGCTTGTAGAAAAAGGAGGCAGAGGAATTACATTGAGTGATGGAAGTTGTTTCCAAAGTTGGGGAAATATTCATAACAGATGGATATGAAAATAGCGGACTTTCACTGTAAATGATGGATTGTCCATCAACTGAACAGAGAACGTTCAATCACTCTTTGAATGGAGGCCAAAAAAGATAAAAAAAGAATAGCAGCAAATACATTAAGCCGACTTTTCTTGTTGCTAAGACTGACAAAAATTTTGGAGATTCTTTGCCGATTTCAATAGCAAAATGCAGATTCATTTTGCTGATTTTACCAGCAAATAGAAATTTAGCCATATTTACCAACCAAAATGATTTGTTTATATTATAGAGGAAAATTGATGTATTTTCACAATAATATGGCTGACTTCATGATACCAGGAAAAAAATTCATCTTATGCTCGTTTCTCATCATCAAGTCTTGTTTGGAATTTGTTTTTTGTTTTTAAAAAAAAAAAAAAAGAAGTATTTTTTTTTTTTATTAAAGCACAAATTAATTAGACTAATATATTCATTGGTATTTCTCAATTTCTGTCTTAGAATAAACAAAGATTATTCTTTTTTACAACAATACACATATATTAAAACTCTTTATCTTTGAGTTTCATATAGACAGGGCAGGATGATTATTTGAGATATTCTGATTCCAACAATCCCTTTTATTAAATATTCAGGAAATATCCTTCATTCACTTAATTTAGACTTTGAGCATTTTAGAAGAAACCATTTCATCATACTTATTATAAAATCCAGGTTGTGTGTGTGTGTGTGTGTGTGTGTGTGTGTGTCTGTACATTTATATATTGGATCGGATTTCCTACATTTTTCAACCGATTTCAACAAAACTTCACAGGACTACGTAAAATTACCTTGCGGTGGTTCTGCCAAAAATGGGAAAAACAATTGTTTTTGCACAAAATCAATTTGAAAACACGATTAAGTCGCCAGAATGAAAGGAGGACAACTCGTATAGAGTTATACTTATTATAAAACCCAGGTTGGTTGTTTGTGTGTGTTCATTTATATATGGGATCGGATTTCCTACATTTTTCAACCAATTTCAACAAAACTTCACTTTTTTTGGCAGGTAGTGTTTCTTATTGTCTTGCACACTTTTTTCTTTATTTTTACATTCAGAATGCTTTAAAAATTCCATTTAAAAGACAATTGTTTATAATAAAATTCTATTCAATCAGTAGGCTCATAACGATTGAAAACAATGTTTTTGTTTGCGTTTGACCAATTTGTTAAAAAAAAAAAAATAATTAAGACATGCATGTCCGTCAACCTTAAACAATAATCTTTGTCAATTTTATTTTTCAGTCTTTATGATGGTCGATACTTGATCTATCTCTTACTGTTACATCCCCGGGCAACGCCAGGCTCTACTGCTAGTCACTAATATAAAAAATTCCAAACGCCTCTTTTTTCCCCCCAACCGCATTCCCTATATGAAACTTGTGAACATAAGGGCATAGGCTCACTCATGAAATACCTTTAAACTATGTCCTCTCAGGACATGGGCAGTTAGGGCACTCCAGTTTCCTTTTCTTTTATGTCTGCAAAATGCCATGACTGTTCTCATGACAAATGATGGAGTGAATTTCTGTTGCTGTTTCAATAGTTTTTAAATTCAATGTTTTCTTCTAAGCTGGTTGCCAGGCAAGGCTAAAGATATCAGTTTGCCCTACTATTTTACTCTGTTGGGAAAGAAAAGCTTGATTTATGCTTTTTCCTAGCATGTAAATGTAAAATGAATGTAAAAATCTCGGACAGAATCAAAGCCCTGCCTGCTGTCTCCATTTTTCTGCAACGATAACCATTATATTCTGTACATCCTTTCAGTCATTATATGACCTTTTAAATCTGACAGTGAAATGTCAGATCAATATTGATTACATGGTAAACTAAATACATACCCACTCATAAACAAAGGCTGAGAAAAAACACTTTTGTCTTAACAAATTTCCAAGATAATAAATAATATTTTATTACTTTTTAAGTTATTTCAGCAGCAGGAGCTGATGACTATCATTGGAGATTAAGTGATAGTAAGCAACTCGGTCCTCCTATATAACAGTGAATGCTGGACAATCTCATCACAGAGGAAGAATAGACAGGAGGTAACAGAAATAAAGCTCTACAGAAGGATGCTGAGCATACTATGGACTGAAAATGGTAGTTTTAGAGAAAATGGAAACAAAAAGGACACATACTTAGCATCAGGAAGAGATAGATGAAATTTCTAGGGTATATAATTAGGAAAGAGAGCTTAGAAAATTTGAAACTCACAGGATATATTGAAAGCAAGAGAGACAGAGGAAAGCCATGAATGACCTACTTAACAAGCTTGTGCAAATGATTGGTAGAACAGAGATTAGGAGAGATAGCAAAAAGTAAACATCTACAAAGGACAGGAAATTACAGAGAGACATGATTGCCCATGTCCTGAAGGGACACGGCACATAGAAGAAGTAGCCTCTTAAATACGCAAGTATTTAAAGTAAAATAAATACAAGAGAGAAAGACATCAGTCTGGGAAGTTTTAACTCATCCCTCCCATGCTCATTGGAGCTAACATCTTCAGATTATCATTATTGCTTACTTGAACATTTTCTTAGCGCCAAGATATTCAAAAATGAGAGAGGGATATTCAAAAATGAGAGAGGGATTTTCAGTTTTTTTATTCATTCAAGATCAAGTAATTGCTTGTTTTTTTTTCTCTCTCTCCAGTGGAGAATGAAAAGACTACCTTTATGCTGATTTATGATAATTGCTTGTAACTGTGATTTTGATTAATAAGATTTATCTTAATTATATTATGGCCATTGTTATTGCCTTGAAAATGTAGTTATTTTCTAAAACAAACAAACAAAAAAATAACAGTGAAATATATATTAAAGATGACTATGGTTGGAATGTAGACCAACAAAACTAATGACTTATCACTGACACTTCTTACAAAATTAAAAAAGAAAAATAAACAGAGGAAAAAAAATGATATCTATGTTTACCTACATCACTCCTCCTGCCTCTCAACTCACCCACCTGATCACTAAGGTATACTGGAAAAGGTTTTGTCTCCATTTTTAACAATATAGAGTAGAGATTTTATTCATTTATTGTAATATTTGTAAGATTTTACAGCTCCTTGGTATTAGCCCAACATCTTCAACTGGGGTGGAACCAACTATGAATCTTAAACATCACAAACAAAATACAATTATTAAATAAGATAAATATCAGCAGATAATACCAAAGCAGTATATACCACACAGTTGTAAGGAATGAATATACAGTGTAACCCGGATATAAGAGACCCGGATATAAGAGAAACCCGGATATAAGAAGAGTCCCAAAAACCTGTGGATAGACCAAACCGGATATTTTCTCTGGTCCCAAATTAGAGCCTGTGTTAATGTATATAAAATAGACCAAACCCGGATAGAAAGAAACCCGGATATAAGAGAGATTTTCTCTGGTCCCAAATTAGAGCCTGTGTTAATGTATATAAATAGACCAAACCGGATATAAGAGAAACCCGGATATAAGAGAGATTTTCTCTGGTCCCAAATTAGAGCCTGTGTTAATGTATATAAAATAGACCAAACCCGGATAGAAGAGAAACCCGGATATAAGAGAGATTTTCTCTGGTCCCAAATTAGAGCCTGTGTTAATGTATATAAAATAGACCAAACCCGGATATAAGAGAAACCCGGATATAAGAGATTTTCTCTGGTCCCAAATTAGAGCCTGTGTTAATGTATATAAAATAGACCAAACCCGGATAGAAGAGAAACCCGGATATAGAGAGATTTTCTCTGGTCCCAAATTAGAGCCTGTGTTAATGTATATAAAATAGACCAAACCCGGATGGAAGAGAAACCCGGATATAAGAGATTTTCTCTGGTCCCAAATTAGAGCCTGTGTTAATGTATATAAAATAGACCAAACCCGGATAGAAGAGAAACCCGGATATAGAGAGATTTTCTCTGGTCCCAAATTAGAGCCTGTGTTAATGTATATAAAATAGACCAAACCCGGATAGAAGAGAAACCCGGATATAAGAGAGATTTTCTCTGGTCCCAAATTAGAGCCTGTGTTAATGTATATAAAATAGACCAAACCCGGATAGAAGAGAAACCCGGATATAAGAGAGATTTTCTCTGGTCCCAAATTAGAGCCTGTGTTAATGTATATAAAATAGACCAAACCCGGATATAAGAGACAACTTCTCCGGTCCCGACAACTCTCTTCTATCCGGGTTACACTGTGTGTGTGTATATATATATATATATAAACAAATCAAATATGACCTACATTAAAGTCAAACTAAGCAAAAAAACAAAAATTAAAAAAATTTTATATAGAAATAGTTAAAAAATTTTTTTAAATTTTTGCTTCAGATCAGAGTAAAGCCCTCAAAGCTTATAACAACCACACCCATTTTTTTTTTCCTAAAAAGAGGTTGTATTTTGTTTTTAAATCTAAATAAATCATTCACTTGCCAGTAATTTACAATCACCTGATGAGATGCATCAAAATACAACTGCAATTGTGTAGTGATTTTGACATGTTTGTCAATGTAATATCCTAAAATAAATAATAATGCTCGACTTTGTATTGAGCCCTCTTTTAAATTAAATATTACAAGTGCTGCAACTGTACACTATTCGTTCTCATCGATATAAAACGACTCCAGCACCTTGAGGTGAAATAAAGAGTGTGACCGGTACAACACAGTGAACCAGTCAGCACTAAAATTAGTAGCACACCCTGTTATTTAAGAGGCGCTCACATATGACAGAACCATAGGTATTTGGGACATGCCCATTCAAAGACAAGGTGTGATTCCTGATCTTAGTGGCAATATGTTGTTCATTTCTCATGTCCAGGTGTTGAGTCGTTCTCCCTATGTAGTCAGCACCGCAACCACAACTAGATTACCCTGTGTTATACCTATTATATCAAGTTCCTAACATTTTGCACGTCGAGCCTATTTTAGGACCAACTTAATACAAATACAAGCCTCCACTGTGAAATCACTCCACAACAATTATTTGGCGACTAGGATTCGAGCTCATACGGAAGAGAAAAAAAAAAATTTGCTTGCCACAACACATCTACAGACCTGTGTCCAGGAGAGGACACTCCAGCATCGCCTCATCTACAATCATAGGTAAAACAGATGCTACATTACCATCACCATCTTAAAAAAAAAAAACAAAAACAAAAAAAAAAACTCCAAGTGCAGATCCATGGTCTTGCTATACCAATGGATGCAACACACACAGCATTATTGAAGAAAAAGAAAATAAGATGATCATATAAGCCTCTCCTTGAATCTATATGATTCCATTATTGAAAAATGCTTACTGTTATCACTTTGTAGATTAAATAGCACTGAAGGTCTGGTGATAATCTTGGAACAAGAATTTCTGTGCATCTTCCTGGTTTCGTCACGGAAAAGAGATAAGAGATGCCATGAAAGTACTTAACAGTGAAGAATGGAAACCAGTCGCAGATTGAAGTGTTATTGTTTTCAATAGAGAAGAAAGAAAGAAGAATTCTTCCAAGACTAAGATTTTTCAGATATTGTGCATGCAATTAACCTTTTGCAGGATGCTGACCACCCAGAGCACTCCAAGAAGATGAAATCTCATGACTGATACTTTTATTATGGAAGCCTACTGATATTTGATGCTGATAACTTAAGAGCAAAAGGATTTTGTTAATATTTGATGATTATTTCCAGTACCCTGAAAATATTGAGAGTGGAAGTAGTTTTTTTTCATATTTATACTTACATCCTTCTCTTCATATTGTCAAAGAATTGTCGACTGGTTAGATTCAGTAACTGTAAGGTTTTTGGTCGTAATTCAATTGAATGATACAATTAATAGTCACTTCTCTTACTCATAATAGTTGCAGCATCTTGTTTTTAGAGACGGTATCTCCTTGCCATTAACAATATTTTTCCTGTTAAATAATTAAATATCAAATATATTTCCTTAAAAAAATTGAAATATTTTTTAAGGAAATATATTTAGTATGTAGAGTACAAGTTTTTTGGGGTTTTTTTTTTTTCATTAAAAAAATTCAGAAGAACTCTTACATGCCTACACAAACCATAAGGGCCAACATCTAAAATTAAGAGTTAAAAATTAAAGGATTACTGATTAAAAAAAACAAACTGAAGATTTAAATAATTTTCTGCTTTGAAGTTTGATAATAGTCTTGTAGCAGAAAAACAATTTACTCAGCGCTAACAAATTAATGTCAAATTTATACAATTATTAGAAAACATTTCTAACTACACACCAATTTTCATCAAGCTAAGTAACACACACACCACACTCTACTCAAAACAAATTTTAAAATAAACACAAATATACCAAAGTGCTGGCATTGACACCACTCTCACTTGCCACAAATGTCTAAAACTACTTCCGTACATTTCTCTTATATAGGCTATAAGAGAAGCTGGACAGTGGCAAGACACATAAGAGCATAGCTGACTGCTCATCCGGCCATGCGACTCTGAAAACCTCCTGTTAACATAGAAAGAGAATGGACTATACTATCAATGCAACAAGCCCAAACCGATAGCCAAAAGCAATCAGTCGAGTTAAGCATACTCCTTTTTCACACTCTTATTTCACACCTCGAGCACTGAACACATTCAAATGCTACACTATACAACTTACAAGAGATATTTTCATATCTTGTAAATGAACGTAAATCTTTGGCCATTACACCAAACCAGTGTCTGATTTGTTTCTTTACTCCAACCAACTTCCACCTCAGATAAACCTAAAGTTAATCCATAGAAAAAGCTAATTTATATCCTTAAAGATTTTAGACATTTTTAAACTAAAATGTACGCACATTTTCAATGGGTGGATTTGATGGATTCTGAGCAAACAAAAGAGATTCAAGCATTTTAAAAATTTCTATAAAATCCAATATATATCTCAGATATTTCTTTCATAGAAAAATAGTAAATGTAATGATTAATTAATTATATCTTATAAAAATATTATTTACTTTTTGCAAAGAATATAAAACATTTTCTCAGCAGTATATGTCCTCATTTGTAAACATGCTCAAATGTCAAACAATTACTATAATATCCCACTTATAGTGAAAAATTCCTACCAAAACTCTAGTCAAATATGGAAAACTAATTAACACAATCAAGAAATTAACATTCAAAATGAAAGTGTGATAATCACGGGATATAACATATTTTATTTTAGATAATCATAATGCACTTCCATAGAATAAAGAAATCCAACAGTTGCAAAATGAAAAAAAAATTTAAAATGCTCCCTCTTGAAAATGGTTAGGTTTGGTTCGTTTTGTTTTGTTTTACAGCATATCAACCTCAATGGGTTATCTAATGCTGACAAGATTTTTATTGATGGTAATATTTTTTCCAATAATGTGTTCCTGGTAATAATCTATTGCTAGTAATAATTATTTACAAAAATATATTGCCGGTAATATTTTGTTCTTCAAAAGTGTAATACTGGTATTGAAACCTATTTTTACACTTTCATATTGTTTTGACCCCAGTTTGGGGATTAACTATTTGCCCATAGCTGAGACCCTAACAGTTGCTACCACCCTGGGTCAGAGTGGACCTGGGAACACCAGTAATTAAGAGGTATTGAAAATAGCATTAAACT